CATTACAATATTCAAGGTCACCCACAAATACGGCAGTAGTTCGCTACATGTCCACAACAAAAGGATAGCATATTTTACTGCCCAGAAAATAGTTTTTATTAGTGGATAGTGTTGTTTTATTTCTGTTGCGAGGCATGGAGGGGAAACACACTGGTTTTGCGGGTTTCTTGTAAATGACCGCGAATTACCCAGGTCGAACACGAACGAACATGGTTTGGGTTCTGGAGAAGGTGGGAACTTTGCAGCCCAAATTTAACCACCGTGGAATAGGGAAATTTTGCTGATTAACGGTGCACACCCCAGTTCTTGTGCGACCGGGGTCCGTGATAGTCCGTTGTAAAAAAGTGACGAAAGGGTTTTGAGGGTCCAAGTTTGAGGTGACATTTCTCATCAACTGACACGAAGTATCAATAAACATTAACATGGCTGAAGAGTGTAAGAAATGGTGATTTTGGGGTGAAAATTTATTTTGGCTCCGAACCTCACCCTGCGCGCCAAGTGTAATCCGCCCATTTGACCTAGATTTCGCTCTGCGGCTTCGTAGGGGTGGATTTGCAACCCCTCGCGCCGTGCGTGGACTGTTTAGAAAATTACAGTACTAGAATTTTCTTTATAATTTACTCGGGTATAGTCAAGGCTTCATCCTGACACCATGAACGTGGGATATGCGGACGATGTCTCCATGTCCAGAACTATCCTTGTACGCCAAGCAGATGAAGACAACACACTCAAGGAAGAAACATCTCACCTTGACTCGTGGGCCAACACCAACAACATGCTGTTAAATGGGAAGAAGAGTCAAATGCTACAGATATGTCTCTGCAGATCTGTTCCCAGCCCACCAAGGCTAACCCTAGGGGGAGCGTGCGTACCCTGGGTTGACAGTGCAAAAGGCCTTGGCTTCATCCTCGACAAGAACTTAACCCTCCAAGAACAAGTCACTTCTATGGTCACAAAGGCCTCTCGCAGACTTCATTATCTGAGGCTACTCTCTAAACAAGGAACCAGTGTTGCAGACTTGGTCTTGGTATACCTGGCACTTGTGCGTCCTGTACTTGAGTATGGACATGTCCTACTTGTTGGATGTAGCAAGGAACAGGAGCGTGCGATGGAGCGGGTCCAACGGCGAGCCCTCCGCATCATCAGCCGAGCTGGCAGGCGTGACGTTCCCGAACTACCCACCCTGCAGTCGAGGCGCGAGGATGCCGCTGTGAAACTCTTTAGACAGATGCTCCAGGAGGACCACCCCCTACATGACCTCGTCCCTGTCTCTAGAGCTAACGCCACTGGACGCTCTCTTAGGAACAAGAACACTATATCCATCCCCCCAGCCAGAACAAAAAGACTCCAGAACTCGTTCCTACATCAGTCTATCAGACTATACAACCAGACTGTGTAAACGTGTCATATCTGGGATGCCCTGTTGATTTAATGTATATATTTTAATAGTATGTATATATGTGTAATATATGTTATGTACTTATTACCTTCGCCAAGAAGGTTATGTTTTCAGAGGCGTTCGTGTATTGTGTGTGTGTGTGTCAACACGATAACTTGAGAAGGCTTAAATGGACTGACTTGATATTTGGTAGGTGGGTAGGTCTTGATGAGACCTCAAAATGATTAGATTTTGGGCCACCTGGCGGCTTGTCATGGTACTGCAGCAGAACTTCCGGTTTTGATATCTCATGATCCAGACATGCTAGGGTGACGAAATTTAGATGGTAGATAGCTCTTGTGCTGGGGATGAAGTGACATGAGTATGAGCCCCCTAGTTGCTTGCTCTAGAACTGCAGGGGGGCTTAAAGGACAAATGTTTAAAAGAGGATAACTCAAGAACCGATTGATGGATCATCGTGATTTTTGGTATGTAGGTAGCTTAAGTGATGCTTGACATAATGATATTACAATTATGCAAATGTTGATGTAATTTGCATAATTAATGAGGAAATTCTATAAATCAGTTGCATTCCATGATAGGAAGTTCAAGCTTGTAACATATGTTATTAAGAACGAGAGAAACGCAGGCAAATATCGATTATGCAAATGAAGACTTAATTTGCATAATTAATGAGAAAATGTTATAATTGCATAGTGGTAACTGCCTGGAATTTCATACTTGGGGTGTTTGAAAGTTAAGTGAAGGTGAACATAATTAAACATAACTTATTCAAATAAGGACCACATTTGCATAATTTATGAGAAAATGGCATTCTTTGTTAGATAAGACTGTCTTTTGGTGAAGAATATGATCAACAGACTGATATGATTCATGCAATTGAGGATCCTATTTGCATAATCAGAGTGATTAGTATATTTCTTATTCATAAAGGCTAACATCATTTGGCGAAGGTATGAGATCGTGGAACTCTAGTCTTGCTGTTATTACTGTAAATACCAATGCCATTCAGGCAACACACATTTTTGTATGTCTGCAACGTTGGTATGAAATAAAGAATTGAATTGTAAGGCTTGGGTCTTTCTGCCAGCATCAATCATTTCTGCCGGAAAATTTTTTTCTATGGGATTATCCTACGCGATTTTTCGCAATTCGCGATAATTCGCAATTTTGGGCATTAATTTTGGAGTGAAAATAATGTTTTTTCCGTTGATTTTACCAAACTTAAAAAGGTTGAAGAAACCAAACTCAGCTGGTCTTGTAGCTGAAGACATATCCTTTCGTTTTATATACAGTTATTCTCCTTCCGAATTATTCCACGCCAGAGACGGTCGCTAGATATGAGGGTGTGCAGCTTCGAATAGAGACGCCAAATAAACTGGGGTGTGCCCCCTTAAACAGGTCCGTCCTTCAAAAAATATTAGCCATGGCAGCCAACAAATTGCATTTCATCTAGTAAAGTGTGTAATTTACCCAATCATGGCAAGTTTTAATATGATTTTAGAATGTCATATAATGCGTTGATTTCGCCCCCCCCC